TAGACAGGAGCAAATATTCATGCATTTGATAGGTGAAAAGAACAGCCCTATTGCTTGCTGTAAATTTCCAATCAATAAATACAGTCAGGCTTCTTACTGAGCAAGGTATTGATGCCTTTTCTGAAAAGGTACAACTTTGGATGGACTGCAGAAGAATAGGCTATTGCTAGTGGTTTTAATATCAATTGCCGACAAATTTCTAAATATAAAGAACAGAGACTTAAAGAATCTTCTCCAAATAGCAATCCAGGGAATGAGAGTTTTGAAGACAACTCTTTAAAAGCAGGTTTTCTGCCGAACCTGGCCCTGATGACTCACACCCTTCATGAATTTATGATTTAGATTTTAATACCAAGTTACAAAACTACCTTTGAGAATAGGAACAAGAGAAGGATTTCCACTCTAACCACTCCTATTCAACATAGTAATAGAAGTACTAGCCAGAGCAATCAAGCAATAGAAAGAAATAAAGGGCATCCAAATGGGAAAAGACAAAGTCGAATTGTCCCTGTTCGCAGATGACATGATCTATGGAAAAACCTAAAAACTCTACGAAAAAACTCTTGGAGCTAATAAATTAATTCAGTAAAGTTCCAGGATACAAAGTCAATACACAAAAATCAGTAGAGTTTTTATACACCAACAACAAACTGGCAGAAAATCAAGAAGAAAAGCCCATTTTCAACAGGTACCAAAAGAATAAAATACATAGGAAGAAATTTAACTAAGGAGGTGAAAGATCTCTACAATGAGAACTACAAAACACTGCTTAAAGAAATTAAGGAGGATACCAAAAGATGGAAAGACATTCCACGTTCATGGACTGGAAGAATTAACGTTGTGAAAATGTCCATACTATCCAAAGAGATCTACAGATGCAATGCAATGCAATCTCCATCAATATACCAATGACTTTCTTCACAAAAATACAGAAAACAAGCCTAACATTCATATGGAACAACAAAAGACCCTGAATGGCCAAAGCAATCCCAAACGGACACTATACTACCTGACTTCAAATCATAGTACTTAGCTATAGAGACCAAAATACACGGTACTGGCATAAAAACAGACACATGGACCAATGGAACAGAATAGAGAACCCAGAAATCAACCCATATGCTAAAGCCAACTGATCTTTGACAAAGGCACCAAGAACATACGTTGGGGAAAGGACAGCTTCTTCGCAAACAGTGCTGGGAAAACTGGATATCCATGTGCAGAAGAATGAAACTAGACCCCTACATGTCACCATATACCAAACTTAGCTCAAAACGGATTAAAGCCTTAATTTTAAGACCTGAAATTATAAAACTCCTAGAACAAAACACAGGGGAAACACTTTATGATATAGTACTGAGCAAAGACTTTATGAATAAGACCTCAAAAGCATAAGCAACAAAAGAAAAAATAAACAAATGGAATTATATCAAGCTAAAAAGCTTCTGCACAGCAAAGGAAACAGAGTGAGAAGACAATCTATGGAATGGGAGAAAATATCTGCAAACTATACATCTGAGAAGGGATTATTATCCAGATTATACAAGTAACTCAATTTAACAGTAAAAAAAAAAAAAAAATCAGATTAAAAAATAGGAAAAGGAGCTGAATAGATATTTCTCAAAAGAAGATATACAAATGGCTAACAAGTATATGAGTAAATGCTCTACATCACTAATCATCAGGAAAATGCAAATCAAAACCACATTTAGATTTCACCTCACCCCAGTTAGATTGGCTATTACCAGAAAGACAGAGAATAACAAATGTTGGTGAGGATGCAGAGAAAGCGGAGCCCTTCCTGCACTGTTGGTAAATTAATACAGCCATGATAGAAAACAGTATGGAAGTTTCTAAACAACTACAGATAGAACTACCATATAACCCAGATATCCCACTGCTGGGTACATACCCAAAGGAATTGAAAACATCATGTAAAAGGGAAACTTGCGCTCCCATGTTTATCTCAACTCCATTTACAATAGCCAACACATGGAACCAATGTAAATGTTCATCATTGGATGACTGGATAAGGACAATGGGGATATATGGACTACTACTCAGCCATAAAAAAAAAAAAAAAAAAAATTCAGCCATTTGTAACAGAACAGATGAGCTTGGAGAAAATGTGAAACAAGCCAGACACGGGAAGAGATATATCAAATGTCTTCACTTATAAGTGGGAGCTAAAAAATAAATAAATAAGAGAGAGAAAGAAAGGAAGGAAGGGAGGGAGGGAGGGAACAAGGGACAGAAGGAAGGAAGGACAATTATAACAATAGGTTGAACTTTCATAAGTAGAGAACAGAACTGTGGTTACAAGAGGTGGGAAAGGGGGAGAGAAAGAATTGGTGAGAAATTGGTTAATGGACACAAAGAATGATTATGTTTTGTAATGATAAACATGCTAATTATCCTGATTTGATAATCACACATTGTACACATGTACTGATACTCAGCTCTGTACCCCACAAATATGTATAATCAATTATGTTTCAATAAAAAAGCTTATATTATTAATTATAATTACATTAATTACTTTCACTCATGATTAATACTTTGTCAAGAACAGAGTAGAGGTAGACTGATCTTTATATTTTAAAAACATTTTAAAATATAAAATTTTAAATGCCATATAACAATTCATATAAAATAGTATTTTTTAATAATTGGGATTTAACTTACTATATTCAAAATAACTAAATTCCTTTTTGATAAGTTGTTGATCAAAATTTATTTGGTTGAAATGATTTCTCCAAGAAACTATTTTAGTAACTTTTAACTAATAATCTTTAGAAAACAAGAATACCTATTTTTTAATAAGGGTTTCTACTTTTAGAAAAAAAGACTTCAATTATTTAAATGCATTTAGATCCTCTACTCTACCATTGGAAAAAGCAGCCTATCTATTTGTCACACTGGTATTTACGAAGTATTAGGTGCTAGAACAACTACTGAGATAAAACATGAAATTCAGAAATGTAAACTGAGTCAAAGAAAAATCTCTGTATTAAATTTTTAGTTATTCCAATGTTAAATGTGATATACGTACTAGTAATACATTTCATGTTTCTCTCACTCTCATTAGCAGCTGGTTTTAGAATAGAGCACAGCAATGCATGGGCCTCTCATAGTTCTTTTGCACCTACAGGCATCCCTGAAGTCCCAACCACATAAAAGTTCATTCTTCAAAAAATAAGAGCACGGGCTTAGTCAAAAAAAAAAAAAAAAAAAAAAAAAAAAAAAAATATGTGTGTGTGTGTGTGTGTATATTGCAAATTTCTGTATTTTAGTTTTGAAGCATTCTCTATTAATTCTAAAATAAAATACAAGATTTTCATTTCTAACACCAAAAGTGTTTTCTGTAAATATTTTTAAAAACATGATCACATTTTAAGTTGCTGTCTAAATATGTGTAAATACAACAATGCCACAATATCTAACAGCTCAAAAAATGACTACTTTCCTAAAGATGAAGTTATCAGAAAATATATTTTTTATTCATCATCTGGAATGAAAATAAACAAAATGTATAATTTTTAGAATTATGTGAACAAAAAATGACTACTTTCCTAAAGATGAAGTTATCAGAAAATTTATTTTTTATTCATCATCTGGAATGAAAATAAACAAAATGTATAATTTTTAGAATTATGTGAAAATAATCTTTATGTGAAAAATTTCACATAGATATTATGTGAAAAATTTTACACAGATGTTATGTGAAAATAATGTGAAAAAGAAAAGTTCCATGGAGAACCCATTTAAAAAAATTTACATCTTTGTAAGATTTTCATTTAATACAACACTATCATTTTAACTGAACTGTATGCATAGAAGGGAGTTATTGTGGGGAGTAGGGTGTTGTGAAGTGACTATTTTTTTGAAAACACTCATCTTTAACTTTGGGGCAAAATGCTTACTATATGACAAAAGTAAATTAAGATCATTACTCTTCTGTCACAGATGATTTCCTGGATTTGAGAACAAGGTCTTTAATGGATGAAGAAAGTTCTTGAAGCTCTTTACGAATAGTATTAGACAAGACATCTTCTTGTTCTTTGTCTAATTTACTATTCAAGGGATCATCTCCCTGCGCAGTCTTCTTACTTTGACTAACCAACTGTTTTACAACCAAACCTTGATACTTTACCAAAAGTGTATGCTGATCCTGTAAAAATGGAAAGAAGAAAAGTTAACAAACAATTTAATTTTCTGTGAAACAGATAAAGTAGGATTTGTTTGACCAATACACATTGTAAGTCCTCGTCTGTACAAAACACTGGCCATATAAGAAAGCCAAATCTAGCAAGGTCTCTCCTCTCAAACAGTTTATAGTTTAAGGGAGATAAAACATAAATGCAGATCACTATAAGTTGAATTTACTAGGTTCAATTACCAAAGATACAGCCAAAGTGACAGAAAAGTTTGAAGAAGTGAAATTACTTTTAGTGTGTGTGTGTGGCAGGGGGAGGTTCAGAAGAAGTTGTGCAGGACAAGACTTTTGAGCTGGTCATTAAAGGATAAATTAAACCTAGAAAAGCTGAAATAGAAAATATGACATTCTTGTATCTTTTCTGTAAACTTAATTTTCAAATTCAGAATATTCTTTACCATGGATCTTACAGGATCCTAAAAGTTTCTTGAGCTATTCCGCATTTTTAAAATCAATTCTCTAATTCACTGTTCACATTCTTGGAAGCAGGCAGACGATGTTAACATGTTTTGTACCTGAGTATTACCAATGATTCACATATCCCCACTCAAAATATTCAGAATTTAACAGCTTGAAAAGTTTCAAGTGTACTGAAAAAGTAATACCTCTGGAATTTTACTATTAAGAAAAGCAATGATCTGTGGGACACATCTTCCAGGTGCATGGAGCATGGTGTGAGTTGAGAACTGAAACAATAGGACTGATGTGAGGTGCAGAATAAGAGCAGGGTCTTCCGTGACTTTTAGCTGTTCAGCCACTGCTTGGCGATGCTGGAACAGTATCTGCCTACACAAAAATAAAATCGTATAAATGTATTATCATAATTTAACAAGTTCTCACCAATTTCAATTCATCCCTTCTGTATTCATTTTTGGCTTTTCTAGTTTAATTATCTGATTCCATAAACATTTTAAGGTAACTTAAAAATATGGAATATATACACATATCCCTAAACAGCATGGGTAGACTAATATGCTAGAAAATTTTTAAAAAAGCTATAGAGTAGGGATATTCAAAGTATGCTTTTTGTTTTGAGTTGCTGGGATCAAAGAGAACTGCACTGTTTTAGATGAGGTTTTCTGTAAGGAAGGTTCCAAAGCTAGTAAAAAGTCCCCTGGTCTTGATTTACTATGGGATTAAGGAACTCTGCTACCTTATCAAGAGAGTCAGAGAGGAATATCAAGCTATAGTAAGATTTTGAATATGCCACTTAGACACAGTTCTCTGTGCAAGATTAAGAGAGTAAAATTCAAATTGCAAATACAAAATATCCCACATTTAAGAATATTATTAAAGGGGCCGGCCCCGTGGCTCACTCGGGAGAGTGCAGCGCTTGTAATGCTGAGGCCAGGGGTTTGGATCCTATATAGGGATGGCTGGTGTGCTCACTGGCTGAGCGTGGTGCAGACCACACCATGCCGAGGATTGCGATCCCTTTACCGGTCAGGAAAAAAAAAAAAAAGATTATTATTAAAGATTCATTCAATGTTACCTTTCCCTTTTTTTGTCTCCCCTTTTCACCATAATATCACAAGCTTCTGCTGCACAATCCAGACAAGAAAGAAAGTCTTCTACACTCTGAAAAGGTATTAAATACCATAATTTACTTTTATATAAAGGTGCCTAAAGAAATATAGCCACTTAATATTGTTTTGTACTTTTAAACCCTTAATACAATTTTATTTATTTTTTTGTCCTTTTTGAGACCAGCCGCACCGCGCTCAGCCAGTGAGCGCTGTGAGTGCACTGGTCATCCCTATACAGGATCCGAACCTGCGGCGGGAGCGCTGCTGCGTTCCCAGCGCTGCACTCTCCCGAGTGCGCCATGGGCTCGGCCCCCTTAATACAATTTTTAAAAGGCTCACTTTGTCTTTAAACAGGATCCGAACCTGCGAGTGCGCCATGGGCTCGGCCCCCTTAATACAATTTTTAAAAGGCTCACTTTGTCTTTAAATTAGAAATTGTGATTTAGAATTAAAAAAGGTAAAATGCTCCTCAGCTTGGTCTCCCCCTTTACCTCCCAAAGAGGTATCTGAATGCAGAATACTAGTTTTAGATTGGGTTTAAAATTATTCTGATAAAAATCTACTCAAAGATCTTTATAACACAAATCTCTAGGTCTGATACTGAAATAAAATTAAACTTTACTTACCTTTTCATTCAGAGAGTTATGGAGTTTTGTGAGAGCTACTTTGGTATCTTCTGACAATTTACTTAAAATCTTTTTTCTTACCTGCAAGGGAAAAAAAAATTCTTTCAGCATTGTGCTTTTGACATGAGTACATATAAGATCAAGCAAAAAATATATACATATATTTATTACTACAGCAGAAAAAAAAATCTTTTAGATTTTTTTCCTAAAAACTCTTTACTTTCCTTTTAAACTATTTCAACTGAAAGAAAATAAAATGTGCTCAGACTTAACACAAAATACATTAAAAGTGGCAAGCAAATCACTAACATACTTCACTTGTAATGGCTGCAGGATCATCTACTGCCATCATTAAATCCGAAGCTAAGAAGTTGAAAATGAGGTTAGTGATATCTGTACACACTGTCTTCAGCAAATGCTTGTTAAGAGCAGCCTGTGTATCATCTGGAAAATAAGGGCGCTTTATTAAAACTAATTTCATCTCCAAATAATAAAAATCAATGAAAAACAGTTATTAAGTATACCTGCAAAAAACTTCATCCCCTTTTCAAATAATCTAATATTACTGTATAGGTTTGAAACCTCTTCTTGCAAGTCCTTAATGGTGCGTTTTCTGCCAGTTCCAGAAGCAGTAGAAGTTGAAGACATGAATACTGAACGTACCACCTCAAGATAAGTTTTATTAAGAGGCCTGTACACAAGATAAATATAATTTTTAAATGTACTGAATTTACGTAAAAAAAAAAAATTGCTTCTATGGAAATAAAGCTGAAGAAAATATCTCTATTTTTTAAACAAATAAAATTAATTTGGAAAATAATGTCCACTAGGAATCTGTCTCTCAAACCCAGGAATTACAATTTATATGGATTATTTTTCTCAATTTTCAAGTATTCAAAGTTATTGCACTAACGACAACAAGAACCACCACAATTCAAAAAAAAAAAAGGTAATGGCAAATTATTAGTAGTAACTATTTCATTTTTTTACATGTGAAAAATATGGATATATGATGTGTTTACGCACAAAAATATTTATTTAAATTAAGAAAAAATTCTTACTTCAAAAGCTATAGTAGTTGTTAAGTCAAAGTTAGATGCACTGGGCTCCTGGATTGTACAAGGGTACTTCAAAGAGTTCATGGAAAGATTTTTAGTACAACTTCATTCTATTTTCACAAACTTTTTGAAGTACCCTTATATCTACGGAAATTTACATATTGGGATTAACTTGAGGGATGGTCAGGTTAGATAGCAATGGTCATGTTATACACAATTTCCTTTATTTTTGTACAAAAATAAATTTAGGTTGGCTCGTTCAGAAGGTAGCAGTGTCTAAATTTATACTTCTTGAGGTCAGTTTGTTACTTTATTTTTTCTCTACAAGTAAACACTGTTTACTTTCGGTCAAATCAAAACAAGATAATCTTTTCTTCCTTCTGAATGTTGTCTTTCAGGCTATGGAAGAGACCAGCCAGTGATTAGTGCTGGTGTTTTTTCCCCTACTATGACTTAAGACTGTATGATCAGTGAACAAGAATACTTCCTGGCTCTCATCTTTTATTTCCCATACTGCCTTCCCCAAAGCACTAAATAAATGTATGTTGAACTGCACTGCCTCTGTAGGCAAATAAAATCTGGAATTTCGTGGCTAGATTAAATTCTAAGCTTTGTACAGAAAATACCTAACATACATATTTTCTATGACCTGGTGAAATTTTCACTTAATGACCCACTGAATTTCTATCATAAAACAAAAAATTGTTTTATACTTGCTTTACTAAGTATTCAGCAAGTTCAGAAATAAACTCCTCAGGGGCATCTTTTATGTGTTTTCTTAAAAAATCTTCAATCTCATCCTGGAACATAAAAGTGATCTCTGGCTTCTTTTTTCCTATAATAGATACAATGGGGAAAAAACAACAACAAAAAACAAACAAGCAACGAAAAAGCAAATAAGATTCCATTAACATGTTTAGTAAAATGTTAATTCATTCACTGCCTACCATAGACTCTGATATTAATTTTTGTCAACAAAATTGTTAATGTCAAGTAATAATAACTAATGAAAAGAATTTTAAAATAGGATATATAGTGGAATTTCTTTTAAGTGATCATTTTCTGGCTTTCAAAATGACTCTTTTCTACAGGTCAATCAGAAAATAATAAAGATGATTTTTCCCCTCATCGAACTTGCATGATGCAAATAGCTGGAAATGAAAACTATCGAGTAGAAAAAAAGTATTTTAGGATAGGATAATTTCTCTTTGTTGAACAATGAATACTGAGCAGAATTTCCTTCTTTATAAAAATAAATATTTATTAAAAATTAAATCATCCTTGTAATTTACATAAAATCCTCAGAAAGTCATTATAAAAATAATGTGAACCACAACTTCAGTAGAATTGTTTAAGCCAAAATTTGTCTTTTTGAAAAAGCAAAGATGAAAAAAATACCTCATAATTGTACACCCGTAATTTATTTTTGTTCTCACAAAAGTAGTTATATACCACGGAAAATTTGTATACAGCTACTATGATAGAAATAATCATTAACTGTGGAAATGTCATGCCTACCCACTTACTTGGAAAAGTACAGGTTGAAGATAAAGAAAGCTAACAATATTTTCATTAGAAATTTTAAAGGTATAAAAGTGATTATTTCCAGCTAAATTAGGTTATTTATTCTACATATGAAACCTTAGAAATAAAAATAAAATAGCTTAAAAATCAATTTTCACTATGAATGAAGATCTAAGGAGTTGAGATTATAGCTTTAGACAAATAGTATCCTTTTTTGAAATCTGCTGTCCATTCCAGATGTTCACCCTAGTCTATAATTTCTGTTTGCTTCCTGAATGCATTTTATGTTATTAAATTATTTTTCCTTCTAGTAATCTTTCATACTGAATTCATCTTATATTTTAGCTAAGAACCTAATTTCATCCTCCATTTCAGAGATTACATCACAACCCTCTTTCAAAAGCACTGAAATTACTTTTTTTAGGTAGAACGATTTTACTACTTTTATAGCTCTTTTCAATAATCTATGCACAAAAGAAATATCACATGCCTCACTTAACAATTATTTAAAATTACAGATATTAGAGAAGTATTTTTTTAATGTCTCTTTACCCTCATTGCTAGTACATGTGGGGAATAGGTAAATTCATTTATCAGTGAAAAGTTAAAACCAACATAGGATCATCTTAATACTACTTAAAGTAAGGGTAGAGCTAGTAGTTTCTATGAAGATACTTTTCCTTTAATTAACATTGCTTTATGCACATCAAAATATTAGTTATTTCTACCTATCTTAGAATACTTTAAAGACAGCTCTTAGGCAAGTGTGAACAAATAGTAAGTAGCATATTAATAGCTGCAGCCATGTCACTTAATATCTGCATCTCTCAGCTATAGCGCATTGGGAACAAACTGTGGAAGAGGGGAAATATAAATCTCAAATTATCATTATTTGAAGTTTGGTTTTTTATTTTCTTTTTGCTGGGGATAGGGAAGAGGGCAGTATAATGGTTTCATTAAATTAACTTTTCTTAAACAGAAAAATAAAAAATCATAATCTTATTTAGAAAAGCAAAACAAGATGCCCTTTACAGATTTAACCTTACCAAGCACTAACAAGTCTAGGAAAAGAAAGATGCATATAATTAATTTTCCCCCTTAGATATAAGTAGACAACAGGTTAGGTGTTACTGTAAAAATTAAACATGCATAAAATTAGTATTTCCTACTTAAATTTGCAGAAGTTCAGTTTTCAAAAATATCATAATTCTTGTTTTGTACAGCAGTGGGAGACCATAAAAATGACCATGCAAGCTGAAACTGGTGCAAAGTGTTCTTAATAATCAATGAGAAAAGTAACGATTGCTCCATGGCCTTTTAAAAATCTTTGTGAAAACATTAGAAGTTCCACTGGTTACAAATGTACAGGGAAATGAAAAATAAAACTTTGTATTTATAATTTAGCACACTGTACTTTAATACACTAGAAACGCAAAGAATGAAAGTGTTTTCTTTGTAAAAAACTTATCAAGGATAGTTTGAACTGTTTGCCTTTTTCTTCTCATCATATAACTTACGGTATGGAGCAAGCGTCTTTCCTATGCCTTATATGTGTCACACTCCCTTCTAACTCTAGGTCTGCTTTCAACATTTTGTCCTTTGCCCTTCTGATGTCTTGGAATATCTCCCAGAGTTCCTTTAAAGTGAAGTTTTTTGCTGACTTCACATCCTCTGAGATATTTTCGTCCTTTTTGTCACAACCACTTCCTTCATTTATGTCAATAAGTGTGCCTTAACTAAGTTCCTCTGGCTGCATACCTAGAGTCTCTTGAGCAATGGCAGTGTCAACATTCCCACAGTCAGCCCACAGTCAACATTCCCACAGTCACGAAATTTTATTTCGTGTTATCACTTTTAATTTCTTTGCTGCACTTTCATCTTTGTTGGCCAATTCTCTCTTTTGATTATCTATTTTTGTAAAGTGTCACATTGGTTTATCACTGGGAGACATGGAGATAACACATCTCAGGCTTTGTTGTTGGTGTATGAAGAATAATTGATGCGTAGTGATCACTGACAAACTTTAAGTGATGTGATTGTCATAGACCATGATATGCATCTATTATTTATGTACTGATTTGTGGACTGAAGAACTGGCAGTGAAGTCTGTACTCAGTTAATATACCAGGGAAACTTGGTGACTGAAATTTGAACCATCTTGTTGGTAGACTGATGTCATTTAACTGAACTGTGATAAACTGAAATTTGTGGCCACTGAAACTATGCAAAATTGTGCAAGAACTTCCTGTATAAGCATATATACCTAAAATACATCTTAAGAAAATATCTTAAAAAACACACACACAAAGGAAAGATAAATCTACACACCAGTGTGAGATGACTGAGATTCATCATCACTATCATCATCTTTTCTTCCTTTCTTCTTGATTTTCTTAATTTTGTATTCTCTGGCGTTGCCCCCACCTCCTCCTCTCACACTTCCACTGCCCTCTGTTGGAAAATGACATCTGTTAGTTTTATCTAAGTAAATCACCATTTTTAGAAAACGATACCATATTATATTTAACTTTACAGAAGAAGAAAGATAAAAGGCAAAATAAAGCAACTTTTAGACTCTTTCTAATCTTGGAATTTCCTTACTAAAATAAGTTTAGTAAATTCAACCAATAAAAATTAATAAATAATAAACATGAATCTCTTGAATTTAAGCAACCTACTTAGATAGCCTGCCAATTTCACCTCTTTTCTGTAGGTCTGCCCGATGTTTTCTTAGCCAAACCCATCCCTTTACCTCCTCTTCTACCTTCCCCAAAATAAATGTGTCCTCATTTGCTCATCTCTGTTACCACAGCCTCACTGATAACCCCCTATTATAATACTTCATAAATTTAATTATACTCGGTTTTGCATTCTTGGTTGAAAGATTATTATCCATGTTCAGAGGAGACACCCTGACCACTACCACTCATCCAGATCACAAATTTCAATAAATTTAGCTGGACATATTCAAATAATATAAAATATGCATAGCGGTGAATTACTATGATTAGAGTAATTTACTATACTTTTCCTAGAAAAATAGAAATTTCAAAATACCACTCAAATGTTTTACAGAAAAAGATTTTGGAAGAGGAAACAAATTACCTCAAAGAAACAGGAGTGAACTCCCATAGCAAAAATTAAGTTTTTATAATATATGTTCAATGTGGCTGTATTTATTAATGAAAAATGTTGAATGAATACTGAATTCCATTAATCCTGTTAAAGCACTAATAACATTGTTTGTACTATAAAAAGTATGGGATACACATGTTACTTTACTTATCTAAAGTAAGTTACTAGCATACCAGTGCTACCTGGAATAATTTCCAGCAACTTTAAATTAAAAAAAGAAATTAAAAAAAGAACTTATCGGGAAATTCATTCATTTAACATATATTTATAGAGCACCTAAATTATGCTAAGTGGTGCTCTAGGTGCCAGCAGTAAAACAATAAATGAGATAGGCAAATTTCCCAAACAACAGAACACATCACAGTGATAAAGTGATACAAAAAAAACTGGCAAGATAATGAGATAGAGAGTGATTGTGACTACTACTCCCGGGGGTTAGAGAGGCGTCTCTGAGCAAGTGACATTTAAAGTTGAGCACTGAATGAAAAGAAGAAATGAGTTACTTGAAGTTGGGGAGGGGGCATTCCCGTGGAAGTCCAAAGCTAATGCAAAGGGCTTGAGGTGAACATGAACTTGGCAAGTTTGGGAATCTAAAAAAAGGGTTACTGGGGTGAAACACAGAGGGTGAGGGGGAAAACAGGAGATGGGCATGATCATGAAATTAGTTTTCACAAAAGAAAACACAGAATATTTTCATTTTCATCATTAAAATTTAATTAATTAGAAAAAAATTTGGTGATCTTAGCAGTTAAAGTTAAAGATGAATCAGTCAGATAAAAGGCCCTTCAAAGGACGAAATAACCGTAAAGTTCACTGTAACAAAAAACTCATCTTTGAATATTCCTTTTTCATAACAATTTATTACCTGTTGCTTTCCTCCTTCGCTCATCTTTTTTATCCTTTTTACTTGTGTTAACGCTTTCTAGAATGGAGGAGACTTGTTTCAGATCTTCTTCAGTGATTAACTGCACAGGATTATTTTTCATTTCCTAAAATAAAATATGTGGGGTTTTTTGGTAGGAAAAATATATAGCCTTTCAAAAAGCATAAAATAAAAGTTGTTTATATACTCATGTATATCCTAGTTATTCTTGTTTGGTTTCATTGCTAAGAAGACTATAGAGCTCTAAGGTCGTTTCTCCTTGCCAAAAATTAGTCCCTTCCTTTGCTGTTCTTGGCTTTTTGCACCTATTATCAGCTAATTAGAAATTCTATCTGGTCACTGAACAACTGATCACACAGCACCAGATGCAATCCTTTTCTGCTGTTAAAGGCTGGTTTTACCCCTGCTTAATAGGTGCCCCACGCCCTCCTTTTTGAGGCTCCCAAGTTCAAAAATACTTGAGATTACTAGAAAGGTAATAAAACCTCCATCCCTGACCCTACCCAAATGACCATATATGAGCTGCATACTAAGTCATATAAACTTTTTTTCCTCTGGACTTATTCTTGATGATATCTGCTTTTTAAACATTTATGTTAACAGCAATGAATTATTTCCAAGTTCAGAGACTGATTATTTCTCATGGGAAAGAATCCTATAAAAGAACATTTTTTTCATGGTAAAAATGCTATTATTTCCTTTTTGCTTTTCTAAAGAAAACTGGTTAGAATGTTGATAGTTCAAGTAATAGAACCACCTTTTCCTGAACTTATTTTTGTGGTTAAAGGGAGGAGACCAAGGAAAGAAGAAAAGATCATATTAAGATTTTACAATAGTAAAAGATTGCAAATAAAAATAATAAGGTAGTCGTTTAATAATTGGCAGTTAACAGGTACCAGACATTTTATATATATCCCTTATTTATTTATATTTATCCTTTCCACAGTAGATACCACCATCCTTTGTTTGATGATAAGGAAACTGGAAGCTTACTTGTCCAAAGTCATAAAGAGAATAAACATGTTTAAACTCAGGTTTACTGATATCAAATCTGTATACTTTTTGCTCTTCTCTGCTGTTTATCAAGCCAAATGCAGAAAATTATCTCATTTTTAAACTGTTGAAAAAGCTTAAAAGGAATATAGCTAAATACAAATTATTTACATATTTAATAAGCCTTCATGAATTTATTAACCGTTTAACAAGGATAAATAGGCTTGTTTTATCTACTTCAGAGCAGACTTTATAAGGAGATGGTGCTGCTAACTAGAAACATGAATTGAATAGTTATTAAAGCAGACCTGGTATAACATCTATTTCAAAATATTTGGACGGCAGTTGCTCTGAGTTGCTCAAAATTAATTTTGATAGTAACAAAATTTCTTTCCTCCATAAGTTATCCTGTTTGTGCACCCTAAATTGGTAAAATTAGTGAGGCTCTGCTAGATTTAGCAAATATGAGGGGTCATCAAAAAGTTCATGGAAAGATTCGTATTATCTTTTATTTCCATTTTTCCACCAATTTTTTGGAGTACTTTTGTATATTGTGTACTGACTGAAAATTCACTGTATATTTATATATACCCACAGACATTGTTTTTGTGCATTTTAATGTTTTAAAGTTGGACCAATACCCTAAGGTGATATGACTGTGAATTGTTTAATCTATGTAATTTCAATTTACAAAATCAGCCCCCCAAGTTTTAACTTACATGCTCTGATGGGAATGAAGAAGGGGAAAAACATATCTGGGAGAGAAAATAGAAAGGAATAATGCAGTAAAGGAAGTGATATATGATACAAACTATTCATTTCTGGGTGGACTGCTTACACCATTTTTCAAATGACATCAGATGATTCTAATGTGAAATTCTGTTAAGATTAGCAGATGAAAAGAAACGTGGCATACCTTTTCAGCTTTCTGGTGCATCAGGTCACTAAACAGTTCTGTACAGTCATTTATAAATTTTTCACTGACTGCAACAGTATCACTAAAGACTATAGCTGAAGCCTGTTTGCTGAATGCTCTCATCACCTGTTGAAGCAACATGGCAGCATCTTCAACTGATAATGAACTGGGTAGCAGAGGCTAGATTACAAACAGAAGGGAAATGAAGTATAAATGCAATATAATACAGATAAACCATTGCTCTCCCTACATGATCTCATTAAGACCCACAGCTTTTAGAACCATATTTATGCCAATAACCTCCCAAATTATATTTCTCATTTCCTCACCACTCTGAACTCTGGAATTATCCTATTGCCTACCTTCCCCACCTGTACGCCTACTAGGTATCTCAAATTGTCCAAAACAACACCAAAACATACAAGTCATACTCTGTTCCTCTTTCTCAGAAACCCACAAACCATCCACCAGCAAGTCCTGATAACTTTACCTACAAAATATATTTCTTCTTAGCTCTTTCTACTATCTGAAATTATCAATTTCATTAACTATCTCTCCCCAGTGAAAGTGCCCCTTCTAGGGGCAGAAGACTTGTATGGCTACCACATCCCCATGAAGTAGAATGGTGCCTGGCACACAGAAGGTACTTAATAAAATTTGTTGAATGAATAAAAAAACATTGAAATCTGGAATCTTTGGAAACCTCTTTATCCAAATCCGGGAATTTTCTGTTTTATGAAAAAGGTCTGAGCCCTGTCTAGAAAATAACGGATTGGCCTCTTGTTTATTTATCTTCAGGTACACTTATCTTTTTGGCAAAATGAAAGGCAGGTCAAAACTGAACACTGAAGTAAAATATTATCAGTGCTAAAGCAGCTTGTGATAATACATTAGCAGAGATTAATGGACAAGGGATAAACAAATGCTACATGATGCTTAATGCCAGTACAGTTGTTAGTGCCTGGATAAAATGGTAAGATGTCTCATCGATTTCTGTATCAGCTTTGATATCAGTGTTATACTGTTTGCTTGTTTGTTTTGAGAATTACAGAATTCTGGATATTGACTCCATGTGAAGAAGGTCACCCTCTACTTCAAAAGGTAGAAAGACTTTAAATATAAAATAATTGTTTATTTTTATTGTAACAATGACTGCTAGAATTTGCAACTAAAGCCAAGATAGCTTTATTTATCCTAATTTTTTAAATGGCCATATACTAGTGAAATATCAAGTTGTCATTGGTTTAAAGAAAAATTCAGAAAGATAAAAACATACTGCAATATCAACCCATGTTCCAGAGCTGACGGCTTCCTCTACTGATGCTTCCACCTGATCCACAAGTCCTTGACCAACACAAGCTGCTTTCAAAAACAAGAGTTGTGTAGCCTTATATCTTTTCCTTATGTAGCTTACAGCATCTGGGATTCCAAGTCTGGACAAAGCATCAAATTCTAAAAATACACCACAGAGATGGATTAGAACTGTCAATCACTCATACCTTTTAGAAATCTTAGAAAAAGTTAAGTTCTATCAAAACCTATTCTTTGATGGTGAATGCACTGTATTCTAATATATTTTAGGAACAGAAATGTATCACAGCCTATTCCCTAGTTATATTACCTTCTCAAATTTTTATTACAAAAGATATTTGTAGAAACATTAGCTCGAGTACTTCCTCGATACTAACTATCTCACTCCCTCTTCAATTGAAGGGTCAAAGGGAAACATGAAGACTACAGAGCAATAAAATCAGAAATAAAAGTAAAGGAGAAGGTAATGGTTTACGTGAAGAAACAAAAACTGGAATTTTGCTTATTATAGTTAATTAATTTATTTTTCAAAATGTTTCATCAGACAACTTAGGACAAAGTATTTAGAAAAGGAATTTATTTTTCAAAATGTTTCATCAGACAACTTAGGACAAAGTATTTCTCTAGTCTAATTTAAACAAGAAAAAGGTTTAGAATACAAAACAAAAGTAAAAAATAAAGACAAATATACAGCCATTAAAGTTACTGGGGATTATCTACTTACTCCTCTGATCCCACCCCAAATAATCATACTTAAGAAAACTATAACAAAATCCTAATCCAAGCTGATGACTGAAGAAACTGAAAAGTGCATCACAGGAAGTCAAAAAATATAAGCAAAGCCCAGTATCCCAGCACATGTTTAAATTGTTTAAATACTAGTGACTTACAGGTTTATTACTGAGAAAGTAATTTGCTATGTGGTTTGACTTGGGTTATAAAATTGATTAAAATAAGTGAGCTATATATATGCATTTTTGCTAATTGTTTTAATGACTGAATTTAGTCAATCTACTTTAACTAAATGACATAAAGAACCTCAGAAAGAGAATTTAGAATAACTTCAATGTTTCCAAAGTACTGTATAACTAAATAAAAATGAACACTGGGAAGTTGATATCCAGTAAAATATTTCTAAGATGATGCAACCGAAAAACTGGGCAACTTTATAAAATATAAGATATAATAAGTAAAATTACTTTTATGAATTAAAAAATCAATCAAAAAATCAAGTTTAGTAGTATCATCTTAATGTAACTGGGAGGTTGGTTATCAGTACCAGCTTGTGGCCTTTCTACATTATAATTGCTCAGTAACTAAGGAATTAAACTCAGCTCCAAGACCCACAGAAACCTGCAGTTTGACTA